AAACTTTCAACCGTTACTAAATATTCAAAAAAGAAAAGAACACCACAAAATAGTCAACGAACAATCAAAAAAAATAAGATATAACCTAACTTTCTGAAATATAAAAGAAAAAAACAAAATAGGAAACTTCAAAACAACACTCAGAAGAAAAATAAAAAATCAATTACTACTACTAAAAACTCGATAAACCCACAAACTAAATGGAAATAAACCAAACTTCATTACAAAACCAAAAAATACAAAATAATATAAATCAACTAATAATATACCAGTCACAATAAATACTGAAGATAAACCTGAGATTACCAAATAAGTCAACAAAGATTTATAAAATCCACTAACATTACTGTCACTTACACAAAAATATCTCGGAATTATAGATAAACCGCACAACTCCAAAAATACTCAAAACCTAACCAATCTATCAACAATTCTACAAAATATACAAAATAATACAGAAAAAAAAAAAGAAAAAAAAATCAAATCAATATATAAACGACTATTATGTACAACCATAATATCTACTAATGATCTATAGAGAAAGATAATATTCTAGTAACTATGTATCAATGTACTATAGCAACAAACACTTCATAGAAAAATAGAATAAATATTACTGATATTAACAATACATTATTGAAACATAATTTACATATAGCTACTGTGCCAACACATCCCAATCTTATATTTATAAAAGGACGTAGAATCAAAACTATGGGACGTATAACAAATCTTATTGTCTCTGCCAAACATACTAGCGGACATATATAAATAGGAGTGCCCACTGGTATGAATCCACTAAAAAATGTATTAAATTTTCTAAATAAACGACGAGAAAATAGAGAGATAAACATACTAAAAACAAATATTATTAAAAATATATAAAATAAATATGGTCTATAACAATAAGGTATTCGATAACTAATAAATAACAATAATACACTAACTAATATTAATAAATAGTAGTAAGAAAATGTAAAAATTAGATTCTTATAAATAATAGAACATAGAGAATTAAATTTTCTAAAAACATTAAACATAATTTAACTGGACACATAGTGTATGATGGGGACATGAACCCCGCAGTTTAATCTTAACCTACCAGTCTCCCTAATAAAAATTATCTTCAGCTCTTCAAACTAATGCTTTAAATATAAGCTAAGAGAAATTAATGGACTACTAGTCACCTCTATGACCAAAACACAGAATGCACTTACACCTCATCAAATTTATATAATTATTAAACCTGTAAAACACCACAAACATAATAAAACTATAAAATTAAACATAGTGAACTTTTCATAGCTAAACATTTCTAACCATTCCCTTCGTATAAGCAGATGACCACATAAAACTAATGGCACTAACCCACCAAAGAACAAGTATAATCCCCAAAAAAATATGTAAACATAATTTTCAGCCGAATACTTTATTAATCCCACTTCACAAAAAAATTGAATAGTTGTAGGAAATGAACATAAAGTTAATATACTGACAATAACTAGCAGCATTATATCCTTAGATTTTATAGATGACTTTAATAATAACCAATTACGTCTATTAGACGAGTCATATAAATACCATAACAAACCAAAAACTATACCAGCCCTTAAGCCATGCCCTAAACAATATAAAAATGAATTATTTATAACTCACACATCACTTATAAATAAACCAATAAATGGCACCACAATATGTGACAAACTTAAAAACGCTAACCAACGCTTACCATCCAACTCATTACAAGACACAATCAAGAAACAGACAGAAGTTAAAAAACATAAAAACAAATATTTAATCAAGCTCGAATCAAATATAAAATATGAACACCGATACACCCCTAATAATCCTAACTTCATTATATAACCACTTAAATATATTGAAACTATACTAGTCGCTTCTGCATGAACTATAGGCAATCAAGTATGAAATGGTACTAACGGCACCTTAGTAAAAAATATAAATGATAACACTAACAACATTCATCACCTAGATTTTTCAGAGTGTCAATCATAAAAAAATCATGATTTTTTTATGATTGACAGATATATCAACATCAACACTAATGGCAACCTTGTTACTAATAAATAACAAGAAAAATATCACCCAGCCAAGAATCGTTCAGAGTAAGGAGAACTACTAAATATTAAATATAATAAAGGAAGCATTGACAACTCATAAAATACTCAAAACAGTATCGAGTGACTAACACAAAAGCATAATATACTAAATATTAACCTAACCAACAAAAATGCTCGTACCCTAGTGCACCCCAACTTATCAACAAAGCAACAATTACTATATACACCTAATAATACTACTAAAAGTACTAAATAAAATGCAATAGAATCAAACTTAAAATAATCACAAACTACTATTATACTGTCCCTGAAAATAAGTAAACCACCACTACATAACAATAATATAAAAAGCAATATTATTAAACTTATTAAAAAGAAATTAATTCTATAGTACTTGAACATTCTCACACCCGAGTCAATATTACTAAGCCAACAATTACTTCAACAGTTGAAAGAATTATTAATACAATAAATATCATATGACTATCTTGAATACCACTAATTAAACAAAACAACAAGACTAAAACATTAAATTTCTCCAAGATAATTAAACAATTCAAAAATCGACTTATAGACAAAAAAAATCTTAATAAAATAGACAAAAACAAAATTAAAAAAATAGTTACCACTTAACAAACACGAATTTCATGACCAGGTACCCAAAATAACTTAAATATAAACATAGAAGCTACCATTAATAAACTAAAAACTTGACATACAAACAAGTAAGGATACTCAGGATGACAACCACCTAAATATACTAAGGAGCTATACATACTAACAATCAACCAAAATATTAACTGTCGACTAACAAAATACCTGCTAGAATTTTTAAAAGTAGGAACCCACAAAAAGAATAAAAAAGAGACAATTAACGCTAACCCTCCCATCTTAGAATTAATACAACGCAATATTGCATAAAAAGTTAAAAAATACCACTCAGGCTTTATAGATAAAGGAGTTTTCATTGGGTCGGCCTCCAAATATGCCTCAATATCAACTAATGCATCAGGTCTACTAAATAGTATAATAAATATAGCAAATACAAAAATAGTAAAGCACATAAAATCCTTTATACTAAAGTAAGAATGAAAATAAACTAAGTCAGAAAATGAAGAATTAGAAAAAAGAGGATTTTTTCTACCGCTCTTATGCAAATAAAACAAATGTAATATCATAAGCCCCAAAATTACAAAGCCTAAACATATATGAACAGATAAAATTCGAATTAGAGTAGTACCACTTATTGAAAAACCACCCACAATATACTTATAAATAGTAGGACCAAAAATAGGTAAACTTTTAGCTATTGAAGTAAGCACCGTAGCAGCTCAATAAGACATTTGGTGCCATGGTAAAATATAACCAGTAAATGCCTCACCCATCAATAATAAGTACAGTATAAACCCAACTTTTCAAACACCCTTCTTAGAATAACTAGAATAATATAGTGCACGACCCATATGGATAAAAAATAAAAAAAATAAAATTTTTACACCCCAAATATGTCAATAACGAATACACCACGTATAAAATAAATCATTAGACAAATTCATTACCAAAGAAAACCTCAAAGTTGTATCAGCTACGTATAAAAAAGATAATATAACACCAGTTAAAATTTGTATAACCATAAATATAGAAATCATAAAACCACTACACCAATAATAATTTAAAGAATAATTTGTAGGAAGATCTATCAATTTACGCCGAATAATACTTATCATTACTTTACTGATACAAAATAAATTAGTAATCAACAAAACCACAATTTGTCAGTTTGAATAACCTATCAGTAATTAACAAACATACACAAAAGTATACACAAATAATCATACATAATCAACAAAATGTCAATATCAAACAATTATAGATCTACGATAATAACCAAAAATATCAAGTCCAATAACTAATGCTGTTACTAATCCAATAACACCCAACAGCACATGACTAAAATGTAAACCAACCGTACAAAAACAGCTAGCATGGAAAGTAGTATCATATATTCTAACAATTATTTCTTCAAATTCAAACAACTGTAAAAGAACAAACGAAGACCCCAATATAATAGTCAAAACCAAATTTATCCAACTCCACTTTCACCATATTAAATGATGGTAAGAAGTAGCCACTAACCTAGAACCTAATAATATAAAACAACCTAAAAAGGGTAATTCTAGTGGACTAGACAATTCACCATAGTATCCTATATCAAAGTACAAACAACAAAACAATAATCTGCCAAACACAATAATTTCACTAAGCAAAAACAACCAAAATCCAGATACATGACTAAATTTAAATATACCCATCTCAACCGTGTACAAAATTATAGTAATTAACACACACATTAATACAATTAATAATGCATTCATCCTTCACATAAATAAACCAAATAGTACAAAACCAGCAAACGACGCACTAAATATAGGTAAAATAGACATATTTATATTGTCTAAACAAATAGATCCCCACTTTGGAAAAGTAGAATATTAAAACTTATACTAACAATATACATACCTCTGAAGTATCCAACTAATTATACTTCAGAGGTAATGAATCAATAACAAAATCTCTTCTTATTTATATACTATACAATAACAAAATCTCTTCTTATTTATATACTATACAATAACAAAATCTCTTCTTATTTATATACTATACAATAACAAAATCTCTTCTTATTTATATACTATACAATAACACATTAAAAATAAAAATATTCTAATCATAATTATATTTAAATTTTTTGATGTGTAAATACTTAACCTTCTAACACAATTCTTTTTGAAAAGATTTAAAGAAAATTTATCCCAACGATAAAAAAAAGTTGAACAAATATTAATACAATTAGCAAATGTATAATAGAAAGACTCTACTATAGAATCTGATCCAAACAAACTACTTCTCCAATTAACTAATATATTACTTTTATACATAACATATGCTGTAAAACAAGATATAATCTGAAACATAATCAAGCTAGTACTTACAACTATACCATTAGAAGCAACTTCATCTAATATAAAAGATAATAAAAATTTTATAAATAATCAAAAATATATAATTAACCCGCTTTTAAAACAGTACATTACACCAACTACTCTCCTAGATAAAGTTTTTAATAATATAGAACAAAATCGAAAAGAATAAAAATAAGAGATAAATACACACATCAATATAACTATTGATAAAATTACTTTATTTACATTCATGATATTAGTTAATAACAAATGCTTTGTAAAAAATACCCCAATAAATGGGGCACCAGATAAACCTAATATAATAGAGAATAAACTAAAAATACCCCAATTGCCATATAAGTAACATTTATAAACACATTTACTAGACTGGGACCCTCTAGAACCTCTCATTACATCACCAACTAACATAAATAACATACACTTTGATACACCATGGCTAATTAATTGAAATAGTGATAAAATAGTATCTCCAAATATTAAATATAATACACATCATGATACATTATTACAAGTTGATAGAGCCACTATCTTCTTTAAATCTATAAAGAAAAAACAACTTACACCAGAAATAAATATAGTTAATAACAAAAGTAATCTAAGTAACAAAATGTTATCAAAGTAAAGTAAAAAATCATAACGCATAGAAAACCAAACCCCGGCAGCTACTAAAGTAGACGAATGCACCAAAGATCTAATTGGAGTTGGCGCACGCATTGCTTCTAATAACCAACTAATAAATGGGAATCTAGCTCTCTTTGTCAATATAATAAATAAAAATATTAATATCAATGGAATATGTATATTAATCAAAAATCCCCTGCTAATCATAATTAACATAAATAGACTAACATCCCCAAAACGAGATGATACTAGAGTTATAATAGAAGAACGCAAAGATAAGTAACTTCTATAAAATAAAATTAAAAAGAATCTCACCACACCTAGATATTCTCAAAAGATTAACGTAGACAAAAAATCACCTGTTAATATTAATGACGACATAACTCCTACAAATATACAAATAATCTTATTTAAATCGATATAGATTTTGTCTCCATCAAAATAATGCTTAGAATAGCTTAAAACATAAGTAAAACATATCAATAACATTAAAATAGCAAATATGGAGACAAAATCTATATTAGCTCCCAATTTAAAATATTTACCGCTAAACGATAAAAACATAACGTTAACCTCATATCTAATCACATAAAATAAAATCATTGATACACAAATAACTCTAACTAACATAAATAATAAACCAACACTCATTTAAACATACGACAAAACTGTTGTCTACTCTATGGCCGTAACATAGGATATACTTTATATGTTGTATAGCTAGGGTAAACCCATAATTAACGCTTAAAGCTAACTCATATAATTCTGACATAGCTATACTTAAAATACAAGAAGACATATGAGTCATAAAATGATCCTAATTCAGTCCCATAAATATCTGGCATTCTTGTTTAATCACTTAGCTAATATTGTTTTATAAAAACAATTAATTTGATTTCAAATCAAATTTTATTTTATTAGCATACAACTTTATTAAGCACAATTTTATTTTATTTTTGTAAAACAACTTACAATTATTCATTAATAAAAACAAATCTCTTAAAAGTGCCTTACTAAACCATTAACTTAAATATGTTATTTACCTATATTTATATTTGTTTATATAATATAATAATATTAATTTCCTGATTAGCAATTTTACTTTAAAGAGATTTACAATCTCTCACATTAAATATATGTTAAATCAGAGCTATCGATAATAATTAAACTTTATGCTCATTACAACTCTTAATAAAGCAAAGCCAAATAGTAAAGTTAAACACATGATTATATAAAAATTACCTTCAAATAAAGTACATAAATATTTTCTAAATTCTACAAATAATGAACTATATAATAAAATTGACCCAAATACAAAAAATATAAACATACACAAAACAATAAAAACTTCTTTTACTCTAATATAAATGTTAAATCTATTATTCGGCCTATGAACAGATACAAATACAAATAATATATAAACTCCTCCTATGTATATTAAGCAAAATATTAATGAATATCAACTAAACCCAAAAATATAATAGCAAATTAAACCCCTAATTAAAGAGTTAATAACTAAAAAACCACAATAATAAACAGGGTGTCTAATTAATGAAAACAAAATTAAAATAAAAAAATATAGACCCAATAATACCGAAATACATCCCATAAACTTTGTTTAATCAATAACTGATTCTCATCGGCACGAAAAGCCAATATAATAATACTATACTAAAACAAAACTAATTATCCACTACCTCAACAACTATTGGCATTATTCCATGATTTACACCACATAACTCTGCACAATATCCTATATAAGTACCATATAACTCTGGACAAAAAAATAAATTATTCAACCGACCAGGTATGGCATCCATCTTTAAGTTTAGTGGCCTTCCTTATCATTTTATAGTTACATCTGCAGATGTAACTATAAAATGATAAGGAAGGCCACGAATTAACCGTAGGGGCTTATCCACTATAAATTTATCACATTGAACAAAAGATTCAAAAGAACCCTGACTAGTATCATATTCCCAATACCACTGATGCCCTACTATCTTTATAGTTTCACTACTAAATGAATCTAAATCATTAGTTATAAATTTAACTTTCAAAATACACAAAGTAAGAACAACTATAGTAGGAATTCTAGTTCACACAAGCTCTACTATCTGTTTTTCGGAATCATACATTATTCTACCACCTTTCTTCATTCTTCAAAAAACCATCAAATAAACAAAACAAACAATAAATACACATACTGCAAATATATAGCAAACTATATCATAATATAATAAAAATAATTTCATTTCAACCACACAACAAATTATTTATGGTAATTAACTTCAAATTCATTTAAAGTTACCTTGTTACGACTTACCTCAACAACTATCGAGGGTGACGGGCGGTGTGTACCCAAGCTAAACCTATTTCACACAAACAAAATAAATTTGCATTACTCTTAAGTCCTAAATAATAAACTTTTACAAATCTAACATTATCACTGTAACGCATAAAAACTTATACAAGCAGCACATAGACTTGGCTTAAATATTTATTATACACAAATTCAGCCACTAAAGCAATAATATTAAACCAGATATACACCAACATAATATAAGTAAATTAGTAGGCGGATCATCCTTTACTATACACATTCCCCTAAAAGGATTCGCTTGCTGCCAAACTATTTTAGTTATAAAACTAAAACAAACTATAATATTATATTAATGGGGTATCTAATCCCTGTCATAAATAATATTGTTTACTATATAAGAATAAAATATAAAATCAAAAAAATTTCACCTAGCTTCAATATAAATACATAATATTAGTCTATGAAGAAGCAAAGAAAACAGATTAACCGCGGATGCTGGCACTGTGTCCTATCCCCTTTAAATTTTAACTTCTTAAAAAACACCTATTCCAATAAAAAATTAACTGCTAATAACATATAATAAAGTATAAACTACAATAACAAAAAATACTTTTATGCAGCTAAGGTAAAACCACTTCCTATCGCCATAATTAAACGAATTAAAGCATGGGGCTACCATAGCCCTCATTAGTTTTTGCAAAACTAAGACCAACTGGCTTCATACTTAATAAAAAGATTTATGGTCCTTTCGTACTAATAAATCACTACAATAGATAAGAACCGACCTGGCTCACGCCGGTCTTAACTCAACTCATGGAGGTAACAAAGGTCGAACAGACCCAAATTATAAACTACTGCGTTTACATTTTTACCTAAGTCAACATCGAGGTGGCAATCAATTAATTCGATATGATCTCTTATTAATTATTACACTGTTATCCCCGGGGTAACTTAACCCAATAAACCATTAAGGGTCAAAATACTAATGAAACATTAATACCTGCCCCAGGCAAAAATAAAAGATCCCGGGGTCTTTCCGTCTAATTAAATTTTGAGGTCTCTGTGCCCTCAATAATAAATTCAACTATATATGTAATATTTATATTCATCCCGTTAAACCATTCAAACAAGCCTTCAATTATAAGGCAATTAATTATGCTACCTTCGCACAGTCAATATACTGCGGCCATTTACTATAAGCATGGGGCAGGTATTACCAAATAAACTTAAATTTGGAAATGTTTTTAATAAACAGACGGACAAAACTTGAGAAATAATACATCATAATAATATTACTAATTTAATAATAATTTAACACCAACTATTCCATAGATTATTATTAGATTTAACCACACAACAAGTCAACAAATATTACAACAAACTTATTAAAATAAGGTATTTTTAACCCTATTATAAAAATTAATAGTGTAATGATATAAACTTATTTAAGATATCATAACCTTAAATATTCAAAGAAGAAATTAATAATCAAACAGATATAAACTTCAACGATTAACTTTTCACAACATACCTATAATCTAAAAAAATTAACTTAAATTTCATATATTCTAAACAATTACAGGAAAGATCTGAAATTTTCGGTTTAAACTATACAATTTACACTCTATTAAGCATGATGCAAAAGGCAGTTAAACCAAAAATATTATATTAACAATTAATAAATTATACTGGTTATTAACAATACATATTATCTTAGGACTACAAAACCTAAATTTTAAATAAACTAAATAACCATAACAAAACTTGGAGTCTCATTATAATTCCAAACATTTATACTATAAGTAAAAAAATTATTATGACATGCAACTGGGCTCATACGTACTAAACTGCATATATATGAAGAAGAACCATAAAATCCCACTATCTTATTATTATTTACTAACGATTCTCACAAAATAAATATAAAAAAACAAGCACTAAATGCTGTCATAAATGAACCAACAGTACAAACTAAATTAACCCATCTATAATCAACCTCATAAATACACACACGACGCGGTAAACCGCACAATCCAAAATAATGCATAGGAAAAAAACATAATTTAAATCCTATATTAGATATAATACACTGACACTGTAATAAAATCTTATTTAATGCAACACCAGTTACTAAAGGTCACCATCAAATAAACATTATAATTACACTTATATATGATCCTAAAGACATCACATAATGAAAATGAGCAACCACAAATCAAGTATCATGTAAAACTTTATCCAAAACACAAGCTGACAAAATAATACCAGTCACACCACCAAATCTAAACAACACAATAAATGATACTATTCACCATATCACCGGATCACTCTTTTTAGCCATAGAGTTTAAAAGCATATATAACCACGTAAATACCTTAATACCAGTAGGTATTCCTATAATCATAGTCACAGACCTAAAAAATACAGCCGTCTTAACATCCAAACCAACAGTAAACATATGATGAGCCCACACACTACAACCTAAGCACACTATAGAAAACATAGCAAATAATAAACCATAAAACCCAAAAGCATCAGGAATTAAACTCAATCTTAAACATATATGACCTATAATACCAAAACCCGGTAATATTAAAACATAAACTTCAGGATGACCAAAAAACCAAAACATATGTTGAAATAAAACAGGATCACCCCCACCTAATGGATCAAAAAAAGCAGAACTAAATTTTCGGTCAAACAACAACATCGTTATAGCAGCAGCTAAAACAGGAAGTCTAAAAAGCAAAAGCAATGAAGTAAAAAGATAAGACCATAAAATAATAGATGTTCGTCTATATAACCTATCACAAAATATAGTGTATAATGTACAAATAAAATTTATAGAACTAAAAATTCTAGATACACCAGCTAAATGTAAAGAAAACATAAGAAAATCAACACCCTTTCTACTCATAAATAAAGACGAAGATAAAGGTGGATAAAAAGTTCATCCAACTCCAGCACCCAACCACATACTAATAATCAAAAAAGTCAACGATGGAATCAACAATCATGCACTCAAAGCATTCAAACGAGGTAAATTTAAATCAGACAAACCACCTAATATTGGTAATAAATAATTACCAACCCCCCCGATTAATATAGGCATTAAGAAGAAAAAAATCATTATTATACCATGATTAGTAACTAAAAATTTATAACAATCTAACGGAATAACTTTATAATATGGCTCTAAAAATTTTATCCGAATCATTAAACTAAAACTTAAACCAACAAAACCAGATCAAATACCTAATAATGTATAAATTATACCTATACGCTTATGGTCTAATGTAAAAATCCAACAATATATATTAGAAATACTCATAATCATAAGATGATAACACATAATCTCTAAATATTTTGAAAATATTCAGTCTAAATAACTTAATCTTATCAATTATTAGAAGAAAGTTAGATATAAACTAACAAAAAATTATTAGCAGTAATTTTACAAGTTTCTTCAATACTAATA